TAGGTCAGTGACCTGACCTGACCCAAAAATGCGGTTGGTGTCAAAAGATCCGGCTTGGATCAAAGGTCAGGTATGCCAAGTTTCAGCTCTGTATCGCGAGCGTGTTCGGAGCTATCGCGAAAAAAAACCCTATGGGGGGGGGGCGGCACCCGCCCCCCCCCCCTCGGCCGGCGAGGGTTAAGTCATGCATCCATAACGGTGAAGGGAAGCCGATGACGTCCCGACCTCCCGGGAACCCGTTCAAGGTTAACCCTCGCCCGTATTGGTGTTTTTCCAGCCGCGAACGTATAAGGGGGGGTCCATTGGACACCCCCCCCTTGCCGTTTGGCCCCTGATCGAGCTAGAGCTTCGCGGAAAAAAAAAACGAGCGTCTTGCCCGTGACGAGAGGAAGTCGATGATACCCAATTTTAAGGACCTAGGTCATCGGTTGACCTTCCAGGTCAGGTCAATGACCCAAAAGTCGGGAAAATCGGAACCTGTTAGAAAGTCGTAAAGCGTGGCTGCTAAGGGGTTTTTCGGGGTGCTGATCACGAATATCATGTTAGTTTTGATCACAGATGATGTCTTCATGCATTTAGGCCAGGTCGGGTCAGGTCAGGTCAGGTCAACCAGTAAGGGTATTCGTAGTAGGTGGCAACCGCCTCTGACAGCTTCGTAACATGTTACGAAGGTGCCAAAACTACTTCGTAAATGTTCATATGGTTGCTAAATTCGAATTTAGCTCCAAAAACTGGCCTAGAAACGTGTAAAACTCGAAAAAGTGAACCGAGGTCAGTGACCTGACCTGACCTTCCGGTGACCTTGACACCCACCCTAATGCATGGGAGCAGCATCATATCCCAGGTTTGAACGCTTAAAACCACGAAAAGACTGCAAACGCGCGGCTAATGCGAGCCGACATACGCCGAATCGCGATTCCGGCCAAACATGGTCTCGAAAAGTAGGTCACAGGTCAAAGGTCAATAGGGTCAGGGTCATGAAAATTTCAGGGTAGGTGTATAATTGATTAACGCGAGGGTACTGAAAGTTTCGTCACGATCGGCCGCTTTTTACGCGAGTTATTTGCGAAAAACCGAGGGGGGTCCGTTCGACCCCCCCCCCCCTATACGGGCGAGGGTTAATATGACTATTGACCAGTTAGGCACCTGTGCAGATCATTGGATCATTGGAGATGGTGCTTTCATCATTAAGTGTGCGTCATATCGCTGTTTTTTGTCACGATTCGTTACGGCGTATTGTTTCGGTACGAATGAGAGTCGTCGTACCGAAAGCCCATTTCGTTTAAAAGAAAAACAGCACAGATAACTTATATCCGTTAGTTCACAGAACAATTACTGGCACAAGCATTGCTGGGTTTGACGTTCGACTTTGTTGGCTAACGTTGACCTACCACGGAAGGAAACTGACGGCTCATGCCTTATGCCGGTGTCTGTCTTATGAGTATTCCCTTTCATCGTCTGGAGCTTGGTGATCATAAATGAGAGTTTGATGCAGAATGATTTACAAAGAAAGTTATAGATTGCTGACTTTGTGGCTAGCATCTGCGCAATTTTTATTTTCCTAGTCAACTGCAACTGTTGCAACTGTACTGAACGGATCCATGTACATACAATAAACTCGTATTCTTTTATAATATGTTTTACATAGCTGTGCTTTACAAAATATATTTAAGACAGATATTATAATAAATTACGTAGAAAAACAGCACAAATTAATCCGACGTTTCGTTGTATTAACTTTTTCAAGGAAACTTCGGATTAACTTTTACAACGAAACGTCGGATTATTTTGTGCTGTTTTTCTACGTAATTTATTATAATAGCTGTGCTTCTTATTTGCCAACATACATCTCAAATGTTGATGGATTAGATAGACGGATGGATTGGATTGGATTGTGGTTTTAGGGCGCGCCGAATGCCAGGGTCACTTGCGCCCGAAAAGACCGGATTGACAGACAGACGCGCGCGCGAGCACACACACACACACGCACGCACGCACGCTATCGAATGAGACCATCAGAAATCGGATCGGACGATCGGTGTAGAAAAAATCAGGGGACTCAAAATTTCAATCCGTGATTTGACCTTTAAGGTCAAATATTTTTAATAAGCTATATATTAGGGAACTCGAGATTCTGACCCTAGCTATCGAATGCGACCGTCAGAAATCGCATCAGACGATCGGTATAGAAAAAATCGGGGGACTCAAAATTTCAATCCGTGATTTAACCTTTAAGGTCAAATATTTTCAATAAGGTATATATTAAGGAAATCGAGATTCTGACCCTAGCTATCGAACGCAACCGTCAGAAATTGCATCGAACGATCGGTATAGAAAAAATCGGGGGGACTCAAAATTTCAATCCGTGATTTGGCCTTTAAGGTCAAATATTTCTAATAAGGTAGGGTAGACCGCAAGTCGCCCCGCCGAGGTAAAACGCCTCACCGATGCTTCTCGGAACTGGCAAGGTTCTGGGGAAACATCCTCTCTTCTATAAAACGTGCACTATACGATCATTATATGAGCAGACTGGAAATAAATTGTGATGACTCTTTAGGGAGATATAGCCAAAAATGTGTTTTTGGAGTGATTTTTATGTTTTGTTGTCAGATTATGCATCATGGCGTTCTTTTATCGTCCACATCAGGTTAACGACTTTTATGTATTTTGAACAACTATTGTCTAACGCTTACAATGCCGGGTTGGTTCGTGTTAAATTATGTCTTCCTGGAGTGCAAGGCGTTGTTCTCTGACCGAGCTACGTGATGGGGTAAAACGCCCCAGTAGGTCGCGGGGCAAAAAGCCCCATGGGGCGTTTTACCTCATGTGTTGTTCGGACTACCCACTTCCTAACGTTCGGTAGCTGGCGAACGGTATGTTTCTATGCATTTATATGTACTTTTCTCAGCAACTGGATGGCAAAGGAAGTATTTTGTTAACATTTGCATTGCAATAATTTATTATTTGGCCTTATGAGGCAGGTGAAAAACCTACTCATACAATAGTGTCGTAGCTGAACACCTGATAGGATGGAAAGTGCTAACTTCAGTGCCATGCCTCCCAAGGTCCAACGGACCTTTCATATAAGATTTAGTCAACTAGCATGTTTAATCTATAATCTAGAGTATGGGGCTTCTTGCCCCAGGCCGTGGGGCGTTTTGCCCTGGGGTTGGGGCAAAACGCCCTATTTGCAGTTGCTTCACAAACCACTTCCTAGCTGGGAGTCCGATCATAAGTGAATGAATTTGAGGGGTGGAATTAATGAATTTGAGGGGTGGAATTTAAAGTAAAATGTCCAAAGAACGCATTGAGCACAAATTTGGCCTTCCAGGTTATGTGGAATAAAAGTTATGTAGCAAAATAAATTATCTGGGGCGTCTTCCCCCAGGCTACCCTATATATTGGGGAACTGGAGATTCTGACCCTAGCTATCGAATGCGACCATCAGAAATTGCATCGGACGATCGGTGTAGAAAAAAAAAATCGGGGGACTCAAAATTTCAATCCGTTATTTGACCTTTAAGGTTTTAAATAAGGTATATATAAGGGAACTCGAGATTCTGACCCTAGCTATCGAATGCGACCATCAGAAATCGCATCGGACGATCGGTGTAGAAAAAAAAATCGTGGGACTCAAAATTTCAATCAGAGATTTGACCTTGAAGATGACCTTGAAATTTGAAATGAATCCGATATTCCGATTCGGAATCAGCGTCCCAAACTGCATCGGATAGGCTGGGTTTAGTTGAAATTTGGACTCGACGCTGAATCCGTCGCGGAATACGATGCTAACTTCACGGACGTAAATAGGTAGACTGTTAAGATTTTATGGATATATTTTTAGGATATTTAATTTTTGTTTCCAAGAAGTTACAGCGTATTTTGCAGATGACGAGTTTTTTTCGGACACAGCCCGAAACAGGTCATTGTCCCCTGTTTTCGGACACATGCATGGAGAACTGCAACACCTCCCACTGCACTCGTCGAGAGTGTTGACGGCCTTTGGGCTGCCGCCATACACCATGCTACTCACATGACCCCCAGGAAAACTTCACTGGGTTGAGGCAGGGAGAAATGGCCGGCTATGGGTGAGAGGTGCTGCGCGAGACAATGCCCCCTCCCCCCTGTTCCCGAGTGAGACCGATGATCGCTGTTACTGCACGTGGGGTAGCACGGACGTGCCAGAACCACCGAATGGCATAGATCTCGGCGAATTTCCGCTACAGTAGCTAACAGGAGCCGTTAACAGATGGAGCGGTACCACTCTACAGCCACTGTCAGCATGTGGCTACGGTTTCTGGCATTACCACTTCTTAACCTGCTAATCTTGACATTCCTTTGTCATTTTTCCCCGGTATGGCACTAGTAGAAAAAATAATCCATTGACAAACTCGTCTGCCAGATTTTAGACGAATTTTGGACTAGTTCAGTAGTGATGGAAAAATGTGGCCGGGAAAGCTTCTTTGTTTCTCCGCTAAATTTTTTGTCCAAGTCAAATTTTCCTATTTAAACGTTTTCCTATTTGCTTAAAAACTCCCTTGCTGCCACTGAAGGAAGCTGAGCACATACAAAACCTTTTTTTCAACAGCCTTTCGAATGGCATGCAAATCAAGTCTCTATGAGCACTCACTTGGTCACAATGTTGTTTTGAAATGTGTCAGTTTTTCGTAAACATCCATGTACATACAAATGTATTATGCCGGCGAAAAGTCAACCTATTATTTTCTATTGATTACAGACTATTGTAATGAGGTCCCGTAGGATCTCTCTCTCTCTCTCTCTCTCTCTCTCTCTCTCTCTCTCTCTCTCTCTCTCTCTCTCTCTCTCTCTCTCTCTCTCTCTCTCTCTCTCTCTCTCTCTCTCTCTCTCTCTCTCTCTCTCCTCTCTCTCCTCCCTCTCTCTCTCTCCCTCTCCCTCTCCCTCTCCCTCTCCCCCCCCTCTCTCTCTCTCTCTCTCTCTCTCTCTCTCTCTCTCTCTCTCTCTCTCTCTCTCTCTCTCACCATGAGGTCGTCGTAAGACCCCTCGTCTCCGCCGCGGACGGACAATCGGCGGCACGGGTCCTTGTGCGGCCTCGACTTCAGACTCAGAGACCAAATCTCCTGCTTCATTTCCATTATCTGAAAACCCGCGGCACACACGCACTGTAACCCAGCTGGCGCAGTACACAGGCTGATGGCATATGCGACCACATACAGCACACAATAGCGCGACCATTAGACGGTTGATGACTCGCTGACCTACAGGATCTACACCTTTCTAGACGCAGTTTTAATAAATTAAAGACCAAATTCAAACCGGTCACGTACATTTTGAAAGTAAGCCTTTTGAATTAGGCCCTAAGCTTTTTGAAATTGCGCCTTAAAAGGTGTAGAAAACGTTTTTTAATGCCCACCAAGCGTCTTTCCGGGGAATGGGGATCGACACGTACATTGCTGCGTGAACTAGCGTGACCCGAAAATCAGAGTCTCGGAGAAGTGCCCAATGGTTCGACTTGAGCCATTAGCCAGTTCGCCAGAAGTTCAGATCTTCTCTAATTGCACTGCATCATTTACATAGATATAAAAGAAAAAGACGAAAAACGGACCTAATGCCTCTGATTCATCCATTTGGACAATCTAAAAAAAAAAAAGTACTGGCATCATTCACACCGGCTGGTAAAACAAAAACAAATCACCGTCACTGCGCAATACACATAGAATACACATTATACTACAACCTAACTGGGCTTGGTGGTGTTCGTCAGTAGGTGCTGCCTTATGCCTACCTGGGTTTTCTGCAGACAGATGGTGTTCATCAGGTTCTGGATCTCCAGCGCGTCGTCCAGCCGTTTGTCATGCGGCGCAATACCCTGCCGGAGCGGCAACAGTGACCTCGACACGCCAGGTGGCCGGCAAAGACAACACACAGCTCAAACCAGCCGTCTGCAGCGTTACACCCCACAGGAGCCTGCCAGCACCGCTTTGAAACTGAACAATGTCTTGGGCGCAATATTTGATGGAGTTGCGGTGGCATGGTGAACCGATGAGCCACTATCCACTTACCGCCTTCCTGACGAAATTAAGCCCCTTGTCGAGATGTCGCTTCTCGTCTTTGAGCATCTGAATGACTCCGACTTTGTTGGTGTTGTCCTTTATCACTGCTATTAGTTCTTTTCTTAGGTGGTCTAGCCTCTCCTGGTAAGAAAAAAAAAAACATCAGTGGACTAATAAGCATATTTTCTTTTTAGCATAAAACCCTTACGTTTTTGATTTGTGATGCTAATCTATCAATGTTTTATCATTACTAATCTATTATACCTCCTACCTAATCATATCATAAGATTCATAAGTATCTTTTATGGTTATCGGTGTCGCGATTCAATTAACCCGCGCCGGGGGAGGGGGGGGGGGGAGAGGGTGCTCGGCGTCAGCCGTGCCGGGTCAGGGGGTGGGGGTGGGGGTGGGGGGTGAACAACCTTCGTCGCCTGACCCACGAAGCGACACGCAATAGGCGGCATTCAAGAGCGTCAGACATTTTGAGTGAGATGCCTAGTCATCTTCTAGGTCAGGTCAAAAGCCAGGTCAGCAAAGCTATCAAAGGTCAAACTCCGCTTATTTCAACACAATTTGACCAGCCGGCGTATAATCCGGGAACCATTAGGCCTACAGCACCGAAGAAAAGCGCATTCGATGGTTCATTAAACGTTATTTCCGGAATAAGTCCTCTGATTTAACCTAAGGTTAACGGTTTCGGGTTTACCCTCCAAAGGGCAAAAACTATTAAAATTGACGTATTCACGGAACAGTTTACAATTTTTGACTCAAGAAAGTTACGCCGGTGCCCTTGACGTCGTCGAGTTTCTCTCGTTGAGACGCGTCGAATGAACTAAAATTTGACCCTAAAAGATCATTTTGGAAATGAGTCTAAATACTCTAAATCCAAGGTCACGACCTGGCCGAGTGGCGAGTAGTCATGTTGTATATCAGTCCTTACCTTCCGTATGTATAAAACGTTTTTTTTACACCAGCTTTATCATTCTAATGGAAGCTTTCGTGGCAACATTGGCTTCCTTCCCTTCTTCAGCTTTCATTACCCTCCCGGGCATCAATTTTACACATTGTGACCAAAATTTTCCAGAGGCTATGATAGGTTGGCCGCAAATGACTGCAGAGTGACGTCATGTTCTGCCGTTTTCGATAAAAAAGGTTTCGCGGGAAGAGCTGTCAGGCCTATAGTTCTGAAAATTAAAACTTATCGTAAAAGGTGTAAAATTACTAGGGCTATTAAACTGTTATCTCGAATTTATAATTTTCGCTAAAAATGGTTTTGCAGAGGTTTGAAAAATTAATATTTTAAGAATACTGTTGCTTGTCATGCAAACGTGATGATTGGATCTTGGAGAGAATTGAATGCTCTTACCAATAATAGCATTTTCAATTGTCAAACGTATCAGGTCAAGCAGCAAAACCCGTGTATTTATCTAGTGGCACATTATGGACAAATGCTATTATCTTCAGCGATTTTTTCCACCTTGTTTTTGATCGATTAGCTTTCCACAATTTTTCCATTAACCCGCGCCTCACTGGGGGGGGGGGGGGTATTTCATAGCCCCCTCCCGTTTTTCTGCAATAAATTCCAAACCGCTTGACGTATCGACGCCAAACTGTCAGTACCTTCGGCTGCATCAATTTTACACCTTTTGTCAAAATATGAACTTCGTAGCTACCATAGGTCGGCCGGAAATAACGTCAGAGTGACGTCATGTTCGGCCAATTTCGTCGCAAAACATTGAACCACGGTAATCGCTCCCAAGAGCTCAGTTTTTAACCTAGATCCCATTTCTTTGCATGAGAGGACTCAGAATAGACTGCGCTATCAAACTGCTATCTCGGAGTTTTAAAATGTCGAAAATTTTGAAAATTCTATATAATAAAATTCAGAGTTTATATTTTTATACTTTTCCCAAAAAGTTTTTGCCTTTTCGAAAAAAATGGAATATATGCTTATGACTAACTCTAGCAAGTTTTAGCTAAATATCTTCAAAAATGGTCAGGTTATACGCATTATTGCAAAAAATCACAATTATTAATTTTTCAAATCAACTTTTCAGTACGTAGACATCGTACACCAATATTAATAGCACCATCGTGTTCCTGAGCTCAAATTGCATCCATTAGACACCTTTTTTGTTGAAAAGTTTAACTTCAAAATATGACCTTTTTTACCTTTATCTTGCCAGTAGGCATTGTTTGAACTCGCTCCGTCAGACGGTCACGTGACAATAAAATAAAATCCAAAATCCATCCGAAACGTCAATTTTTCAAACAAAAGTGCCCTCACGGACCGCACGTGGCGCGTGACATCCCCTGCACTGTAAACCATTCGATAGCCCGTTAGATTTTCTACACGATGCTGTTTTCCCCGTGCCGATCGGGCCCACGATTACCGAAATATTGCACGGACACCGGACCCGTGTCGGGCAAATTCAGCCATTTTTGCCCGACTTTGCAAGCCGATTTATACATGTTAAGTCTATGACGCGAATTTGCACTTTTTGGGCACGCACCACGTGCTCGCTATCGATCCGATCGAGCTAAGACCCACCAAAGGTATGTACGTTGTCCATCCTTGTTCTATAAGTTGCGCAAATTTCATCGCGCGCCGCCAGGTGCGACGGTCTGACCTGTAACCCGCGCTACGTAGCACCATGTCGGGACCTCGGTAACAGACAGAATCTACGTCACCACAAATAGTGAGTTAGATCATAGCGATTGCTACTAATTTAGTTCAGAACAGTCAGACTGATCGTTTGGAAATGCAGAATTAGCAGTGAGTGCGCTTCTGCACTGCACGTAAAGCGTACCATGATCCCCTCCATTTCTAGGAGTGACCCATACCAGGAGTATGGTATGGAGCCTGGAGGCATCAGCTGCAGTTAGCTTTTGCCCCGGGCGGATTGCATGGACAATCTCCAGCCATGGGAAGCCGATGGGCGTATGTGTTAACTGTGCGCCGCCGACTCACATTCCGAGCCGGCCCCGCCCACCGAGTGGATTTCAGCGCAATCGGCGGCACTGTGCGCCCCGGAGCCGGCCGGCGTGTCGCCGCCTGCGCCTCGGAACGGCCGCAGCGTCTGGGAACGGCCCGCCGGCCGACCGCCAACGTCCCAGTTACGACAGCCGCCGGCCCGCCGCGCCGTGTCGAAAGGCACCACCGCGGCCGCCCGCCGGCCGCCGTCTGGCCCAGTCCAAACGCGGTATGGCACCCAGTCCAGCGGTGTGAGACAAAATGGGTCGAAACCCGACAGTGTCACACCAGCTCACCGCCTACAGAGTAACGGAGCTGACTCAGAGAGCCGAACCCTACCACCAGCCGAACCTGAACCGACCAACGCTCTTCAGTGGACACTGGACTGGACTAGACTGGACTGACCCGGCGGTCGGAGTGGGGGCTCTGACACTGACCCCGTGGTCGGAGGGGGGGGGCTCTGACACTGACCCCGCAGTCGGAGGGGGAGGGGAGGGGCTCTGACACTGACCCGGCGGTCGGAGGGGGGGGGGGGGGCTCTGACACTGACCCCGTGGTCGGAGGGGGGGCTCTGACACTGACCCCGTGGTCGGAGGGGGGGGGGGCTCTGACACTGACCTGGCGGTCGGAGTGTGTGTGTGTGGGGGGGGGCTCTGACACTGACCCGGCGGTCGGAGGGGGCTCTGACACTGACCCTGCGGTCGGAGGGGGGGAAGGGGCTCTGACACTGACCCTGCGGTCGGAGTGGGGGGGGGGGGGCTCTGACACTGACCCTGCGGTCGGAGTGGGGGAAGGGGCTCTGACACTGACCCGGCGGTCGGAGGGGGGGGCTCTGACACTGACCCTGCGGTCGGAGTGGGGGAAGGGGCTCTGACACTGACCCTGCGGTCGGAGGGGAGGCTCTGACACTGACCCGGCGATCGGAGGGGGGGGGGCTCTGACACTGACCCGGCGATCGGAGGGGGGGGGGCTCTGACACTGACCCGGCAGTCGGAGGGGAGGGATTCTGACACTGACCCGGCGGTCGGAGGGGGGGATTCTGACACTGACCCTGCGGTCGGAGGGGGGAGGGGGGGCTCTGACACTGACCCGGCGGTCGGATGGGAGGGGGCTCTGACACTGACCCGGCAGTCGGAGGGGGAGGGGCTCTGACACTGACCCTGCGGTCGGAGGGGAGGGGGGCTCTGACACTGACCCGGCGGTCGGAGGGGAGGGGCTCTGACACTGACCCTGCGGTCGGAGGGGAGGGGCTCTGACACTGACCCTGCGGTCGGAGGGGAGGGGCTCTGACACTGACCCGGCGGTCGGAGGGGGGGGGGGCTCTGACACTGACCCGGCGGTCGGAGTGGGGGGGGGCTCTGACACTGACCCGGCGGTCGGAGGGGGGCTCTGACACTGACCCGGCGGTCGGAGGGGAGGGGGCTCTGACACTGACCCTGCGGTCGGAGTGGGGGAAGGGGCTCTGACACTGACCCGGCGGTCGGAGTGGGGGGGGGGGCTCTGACACTGACCCGGCGGTCGGAGGGGGGAGGAGCTCTGACACTGACCCTGCGGTGGGAGGGGGGAGGGGGCTCTGACACTGACCCGGCGGTCGGAGTGGGAGGCCTCTGACACTGACCCGGCGGTCGGACGGGAGGGGCTCTGACACTGACCCTGCGGTCGGAGTGGGGGGGGGGCTCTGACACTGACCCTGCGGTCGGAGGGGGGAGGGGCTCTGACACCGACCCGGCGGTCGGAGGGGGGGGGGCTCTGACACTGACCCGGCGGTCGGACGGGAGGGGCTCTGACACTGACCCTGCGGTCGGAGTGGGGGGGGGGGGCTCTGACACTGACCCGGCGGTCGGAGGGGGGAGGGGCTCTGACACTGACCCGGCGGTCGGAGGGGGGACTCTGACACTGACCCGGCGGTCGGAGGGGCGGGGGCTCTGACACTGACCCTGCGATCGGAGGGGGGCTCTGACACTGACCCGGCGGTCGGAGTGGGGGGGGGGGGGCTCTGACACTGACCCGGCGGTCGGAGGGGGGCTCTGACACTGACCCGGCGGTCGGAGGGGCGGGGGCTCTGACACTGACCCTGCGATCGGAGGGGGGCTCTGACACTGACCCGGCGGTCGGAGTGGGGGGGGGCTCTGACACTGACCCGGCGGTCGGAGGGGGGCTCTGACACTGACCCGGCGGTCGGAGGGGAGGGGCTCTGACACTGACCCGGCGGTCGGAGTGGGGGGGGGGGGGCTCTGACACTGACCCGGCGGTCGGAGGGGGGAGGAGCTCTGACACTGACCCTGCGGTGGGAGGGGGGAGGGGGCTCTGACACTGACCCGGCGGTCGGAGTGGGAGGCCTCTGACACTGACCCGGCGGTCGGACGGGAGGGGCTCTGACACTGACCCTGCGGTCGGAGTGGGGGGGGGGCTCTGACACTGACCCTGCGGTCGGAGGGGGGAGGGGCTCTGACACTGACCCGGCGGTCGGACGGGAGGGGCTCTGACACTGACCCTGCGGTCGGAGTGGGGGGGGCTCTGACACTGACCCGGCGGTCGGAGGGGGGAGGGGCTCTGACACTGACCCGGCGGTCGGAGGGGGGACTCTGACACTGACCCGGCGGTCGGAGGGGCGGGGGCTCTGACACTGACCCTGCGATCGGAGGGGGGCTCTGACACTGACCCGGCGGTCGGAGGGGGGGGGGGGGCTCTGACACTGACCCGGCGGTCGGAGGGGGGGGGGCTCTGACACTGACCCGGCGATCGGCCCGCTCGGCGTCCACCAGCCGTTGTTCACCCTCCAGGCGGATACGCAGCTCCTCGACCGTCTCGTTGACCATCAATGACTCGAGCTCCTCCAGGTCCACCAGCCGGCCGAACTTTTTCTTCATCTCAGCCTGCCGGAGCGACATCAGAACGTCAGGAGAGAGGCCTCAGCAGACAGACAGCCGTCGGCAGACAGACAGCCGTCGGCAGACAGGTTCATCCGGCGCGCGCGAGGCGGCGCCGGCGGGTGTGGCCGAGCGCCGGCCGCTCGTGGCCGGCGGCCCTCCTACGCACCACGCTCTGTTTCTCCAGCTTCTCGATATAGGTCTCCATCAGCCTGCAGTCGAGCTTCAGCCGGCGCTCGTCCTTGTAGCTGGCCCTGGAACGGAACGGCCGTCAGCTGCAGTCGGCCAACGCTTCATCAGACACCTTTCAGCTATCCACCGTTCTGACTAAAAACATCTTGATTTTGTTTGTTTTAGGAAAATGCAAATGATATACCTAAGTGCACAATTACCCGGCCGGGCCCGGGGGGTAGTCCCAACCACCGCAGCCCGGGGGGGGGGGCGTTTTTCGCCCCCCCCCCCTGTCTAACTCCGTAAATAAGGGAGCCACGGAAACAAAAGCGATACCAAACGAAAGGTCCTTACGAGACGATTCCAAACCACCTAAAAATTTTTGACCTCAGGTCAATTTTCAAGGTCAGAGGTCAAGGTCAAAGGCAAAAACCGGCATATGTGTAGTGATCCCAAAGCAAGCCTTCTAGAGGACGGTAGGTTGCATCAAACCGGCAAAATTGGGTGTCAAACGAAAGAAGAGAATCTGAGGATTCCGAAAATGTGCTCAAAATCAAAGGTCAAGGTCAAGGTCACGCTCAAAATTGACCTCAAATTTGGCAATTTGTCGCATATCTTGCGTGCTAACTTCCAAGATGTTTTGAAATGTTTTGAGGCTTATCAGTTCCCTATTTGTGGTTCATCTTACGATACAAGGCTGCTCAAAGGTCAAGGTCACAGAAGAGTATCCCTGCTAGAGGCTATTTCACTGATTCAAGTTAGTAATAATAAATAAGACAAATCTGTCATCCGGAAGCTCTAAATGAAGGCTTAGAGGAAAATAGATGCCAGATTCGTGATCAGCGGGTACAAATCCATCATAAACGACCTTTCATGTGTCAAGGTCAACCAGAGGTCATTCGAGGTCACATGAGGTCAACATAAAACTTGACCTTTTCCAAACAAAATATATATCATTCGACGCGGCTTGACGAGGCGAATGCGATGGTACCACTGCCGTAGCTCTAGGACCATTTTTGTCGAAGTTATTTGCGAAAAACTAAAACCACATTTCGGGGTCGTTGACCTGACCTCTGACCTCAGGTCACCAAAACTATTTTTCTATTTTTCTCTAGGTCAAACGCTACACAACCGTGTCCCTAATTTGTCTTTATCTCTTAAACTCTATTTTTAGCAGCTATTTGAAGTTTGCGTCTGTGACGCCGAAGTTTGCCGTGCAGGGGTCTAGAAAAATGGACCTTGTGACGTCATCAAGGGAGCTAGGTCCAAATTTTTTGCTTCAGAATATGTCAAATGGATGGGAGAAAAGGTACTGAAAGTTTCGCTTTCCTATCCCTAAGCGTTCGGGAGCTATCGCAAATATTCGCCAGGGGGGGGGGCGAAAAACGCCCCCCGGGCCCGCGAGGGATAACCTTTTAGTGGATCGCTCGTCATGTTACACTGTTGTCAAACTAGGAAGTTGACTTTTCAAGCTCAAACTATCATATTCCACGTAAAGGTAAATATTTTATTCGACTGCAGGTCTTATGGAAGCGTGCAATTATTGAACATTGCATCCAACTGCTTCCATTTATACACGAACGATGTGACCGCTATTTGGGGCTGTGGGGGCAGTAATTGGGCTGTACAGTCGGCCGCTATTTCGGGCTGTGGGGGCAGTAACTGGGTTATACATACAGCCGGCCGCTATTTGTAACTGTGGGGGCAGTAACTGGGCTATACAGCCGGCCGCTATTTGGAGCTGTGGGGGCAGTAACTGGGCTATACAGCCGGCCGCTATTTGGAGCTGTGGGGCCCGCAGTGATTGGGCGGTATCGGCCGCTATTTGGAGCTGTGGGGCCCGCAGTGTTGGGCTGTACAGCCGGCCGCTATTTGGAACTGTGGGGGCAGTAACTGGGCTATACAGCCGGCCGCTATTTGGAGCTGTGGGGCCCGCAGTGATTGGGCTGTACAGCCGGCCGCTATTTGGAGCTGTGGGGGCAGTAACTGGGCTGTACAGCCGGCCGCTATTTGGAGCTGTGGGTGGGGCCCGCAGTGATTGGGCTGGACAGCCGGCCGCTATTTGGAGCTGTGGGGGCAGTAACTGGGCTATACAGTCGGCGGTTGACGGTTGACGTGTTGGTGTCAGACGTGTTTTACAGTGCTCCCGTGTAATGCGTGTTTTAGCGTAGCTATCCCACATCTTGACTTAACCTTTATACCAAACGAATCGTGATTTAACGTTGATCATTTTGGTTGTATTTTCACTGGAACTAAATGTGGGACTGGGTAAATATAGGGCTGTAAAAAATCGATTATTTTGACCCAATTGCAAAAAATTTGGGTCAACACCACGACGTTTTTGTTCTTGATTTTCTGTGATAAGTCTCGAGCTAATTCAAAGAAGGCTACTGTAAACTAGCAAAACCAGTAACATATTGTCGCAACACACTTCCATTTTCATTACTACAAATTCAGATTATCGTAATCTTGTGTCAGAGCCTTTTAGAATACCAAGACTCACGCCAACCAAAAAATGAAAGGTGCCGGCTATCGGGACACAACCAGTAATGAAGTGTGGAGTATCGCTGGCAAAAAGAAGAAGAAGATAAAGTCACCTGTAATGGCAACTAATGAAGACAGCGATTCCGACGACTCCGTTCATGGATACGATCCCACCAAAAATGAATGGATAACGTCTGAAAAAAGCACGGAACACGCTAATAAACCAGCGACAGCACCACCGCAGCTCTGCGTACCAGGAAGCACAGTTGACGCGTTTCTGGCATTATCCCATGCCAACACAGAGAAAAACATGGAAACTCTTGGATACCTTGCCGGAGATGACAGCCCAGAAACTAACGAGGTGACTCACTTGGTCATCCCGGAACAAATTGGAACGACAGCAACATGCGAGAGCACGAGCGAGGAACTACTAGCACAGACAATGCAGCAAGAGAAGCTAGTGATCAAAGGCTGGATACATACACACCCAATGTATGACACTTTCATGAGCTCGGTCGACATACATACCCAGTGTCATATTCAAAAAGAACGACCAGAAGCTGTTGCTATTGTATGCGCAACAAAGCTGAAGAAAGTTGGAGTGTATCATCTCACAGAAAATGGTCTCCATGAAGTCAGTGACTGCCGACTGCAAGGTTTCCATGAAACCTGTCAATCACCAGGTTTCTATGAGACCATAGAGATCAGGAAAATCGACAAGGAAGTACAGGTAATCGATCTACGATACAAAAACGTGACATCCAGCGAAGCAAAAAGCGGCTCTTATGAGCCGCGAATAGAAGATGATTGCAATGACGATCAAAAAACTTCAGGCAGCCATCAAGCAGGACATGGCGACCGATGCCCCAACATCAACAAAACAAAAACGGAGAAGTCGAAATCAGTGAAGCGGAAGGCGGAACTCGTGGCGCAAGTTGCCCAACTTCAAGCTGAAAATCAAGAACTCAGAACACAGCTCGCCCTTCTCATGACAAAAGAAGAAAACCAGACATCTCCGGGAAGCAACCAAAACAACCTAGCCACTAGACACCCGCCTGGACACATGCTGTGTCAGCCATGTGCCGAGTACTTACTCTGGCTGAGTAACCAAAAGCATGACGATTGTAAGGTCACAGCCCAACCGCAAACCACTAGTCGAGACGAAACTAAAACTTTGAGTGAAGAGGGTGACAAAAGTAAGCAAGAAGTGGAATGCGCTCAAGAGAAATGGGAGGGACAAACCGCCAATGAGAAACCACACAGCGGACAAGAGAAGCTTCGAAGCCATAACCAGGACGATGAACGGAGAGCATCCCACCTTTCAACTGGAAAACTGAGACCACCTGAAGCAAACCTTAAGCGGAAAGAGGGCCCCTCAACTGGCAACGAAAGCCGCTACGTATCAACCCAACTGAGACACGGCATTAATCCTTTTAGATGCAGCATACCAGAGCAGCATCACCTCAGCCAATCAAACGTGAAAAACATGGACTACAGACATGCTCTTAAGTATGGCCAGAGCAAAGACCAACAGCACACAGCTAATCGGGAGAAGCATCATATGCAAAACAACTCAATGTCACATATCCAACAAAGTAGCTCAATGGATCCAACAAACAGGACAGATTCATATCAAGCTCCTCTGTTCCGGCACAGTCGTAATTTCCAGGCTGGACAGACACCAAGATTCGAGAAACCTTGGTACTCACATCGACCCCACTACTCCAGACAACAACAGCATCTCAAACATGACGGCCCATCTGCAACAGGAATAGGACATGAAAAACATAATCCGTATCAAACCCGTTTAGGGATCCAGAGTCACGCAACGAACAGAGAACATGCAAGTTTTCGAAGCAGGAGTGTGGCAAACAGAAATACCGCAACAATGATCACAGAAAAACGCACATGGAACATGAGCACAGCCCGGCCCACAAATGGAAGAATCCGTAGAAATCAAACAAATGTCATCTGGAATTCAAAATACAGAGTGGAGTCAGAACTCTGCGGTCACCCAAAAAACTTCACCTCATTCAGTACAACTGTCGGGGCTACAAACCCGATGATGAGTTTACGAACTCACTACTAGTCCATGCTGACATCATTCTTCTGAATGAGACATGGACATTGAAAACAAGCCAAGAATCCGACCTGAGAAGAGACGGGTACACAACGATCGCTACAAGCTACGACGCGTACTATGACTATGCATCGATAGATAAAACCGGCGTGAGAGGACACGGTGGAGTTGCCATCCTAGCGAAAGAAGAGTTGAATCTATTATCTATTGGCGATACAGGCAGCACAAGAATAGTAGCCGCAGTCCTTCACGGCTTCCTCCCCGAAATTCTCATCGTAGCTGTATATTTGCCAACCGGAACAACTACAGAGAAAGTCGTAGAGTACCAAGAAACAATAGACAGGATCAGTGCAATTATAGACAAGCATAGTACAAATAGAATGGTAATAATTGGAGGCGACCTCAATGTTGACCTACGAAAAGACACCCACTACAACAAAAAGTATACCTCAGCCCTCATCGATGATCATAACCTTATGATCCCGGTGGAGACGCAACTGGATGAGCTTTGCTCTTTTTATACCCAAGATACGACGCCAGTATCGTTACTTGACTATTTTCTTATTGACTCTGCTCATGGATACTTAGTTAAAGAGTGTTGTGTCTGCAACATTAAACAAAGTGCCGGATCTTTCCAATCAAGAAAAAACGGAAACGCAAGCAAACCTTTCATTCATTCGTCGAGCCAAAGCAATAACAATACCACAATGAACCAAGTTTTGAGCCAAATTTCAAATTCCTTTTTCCCCAGTTCATTTCTTCACATTCTTCATCAGTGTAACACATTTCATTTTTCATGCGCCTTTTGTCTCGCGCCATCGTTCTAATATGGACTTTGTTCGGACAGAACAAAGAGTATGAAATATCTGATAGAAGCGCATTGAATAGATCGGACCATGAACCGGTTCAATTAGTAATCTCAGCTATTCTACTGAAAACTGCTCATGGGCGAGGTACATCAAAAAATGCAAAGATAAACTGGGAAAAGGCAAGAAGAGAAGGGACTACGGAGCAATATCAAAGAAAGCTGGATGATCTCTTAGAAGATATCACCAGTGTTGCAGAATTAAATGAAGCCTTCAATAGAGCATCACAAGTGCTCCCGAAAAAACGCAAGAAAAACAAAGCTAGTAACTGGTGGAATCATGAACTCACAGAGCATAGGAAAAAATGTCTCAAGGCTAAAGCAATGTGGAAATCAGCTCCCGAGTGTGAGAAAAAGAAAGCTGAGCAAATATTTCGAGAACACAAAAGACACTATATAAACGCACAGAGAGCACATCAATTGACAAGGAAGCAAGCAGAAGACACAGAAAGGGAATTTGAATGTAAAAACTTGTCAAATAAATACTTTTTGGCAATGCGACAGCATAGAACAAGCACATCAATTCCAAGAATCGTGGATGATGGTACAGAGATATTAGAACCTGATGAGATTGCACATAATTTTTTGACTCATTTTGTCCACACAGGTAAACCGATCAAATCCAGTGCCTTCAATGAAAAGTGGAGAGAGGCAGTAGATGCAGCAGTAGAAAACATATGCAATAGATATGAAGCTGATTTTGATAGTCTCGACCAATTGGACCCGATTGACGAAAGCGAGATTGATGAAGCTATATACCATCTAAAGAATAAAAAAGCTCCAGGATTCGACGAAATAACTGCAGAACATTTGAAAGAAGCAAAAGGAATAGCAAACGCAACAATAGCAGGTATTATGCAAGAAATCATTAATACTGGCAAAATCCCAGATAACTTCAAGTTTGGATTAGTTACCCCGGTCTTTAAAGGACATGGAACCGATCCTTCTAAGACTGATAACTATAGGGACATATCTGTCCTTACCACCCTCTGTAAAGTTTTCGAGATACTGATCGTGAAACGACTTCACCCAAAGATGGTCGAGGCTGGTATCTACTCAGAACTACAGTTTGCGTATCAAAAAAGTAGAGGGACACTCCAAGCAAACTTCGTTCTCCAAGAAGTCATATCAGCTAATAGAGACATTGGGAAAACGACCTATGTTGCATTTCTCGACGTACGCAAGTGTTTTAACTCTATTTGGCACAACGGGGTAATCTACAAACTCATATGCGCCAACATGCCACCAAGGTTGATCGTCATTTTGCGCAACTTGTATCGAGAGTTTTATGTCAAAGTGAAAGTTGGAGGAACTGTATCCACCGATGGTCGCATAGAGCAAGGGCTCAAACAGGGAGGCGTCTTATCATCGAGCATGCTGATCCTATTTATGGAAGACAAGATACGCATGCTGCTGGAATCACATAAGGGAGCCAAGATAGGGTGTAAACAAGTACCAGTTATCGCTTACGCCGATGATGAAGTACTCATAAGCACAGACCCAAACGAACTCCAAGAAATGCTTGATATCGCTTGCAACCATAGTTGCTTGTGGCGTTATAGATATAACGTATCAAAAACCAAAATAATGGTCTTTGGCAGGACAGCTCCGGTACAGTGGACGCTTGGCACTGAATCAATAGAGCAAACTGATGAATACACCCACCTAGGAATCATTATGACAACCAGAAGTCCAGCAAAGAGAAGGATAGAAGAATGCATGAAGAAAGCAAGAAGAACATTTTTTGCTAAGTGTAAGAAAGGAATCAACCTCAAAATGGACAATCCGATGTCACACTATACAACGTGGAGAATATATGCTGAACCGGTTCTAATTTACAGCCTAGCAGTTACATCCCTTTCACCAACAGATATCATGTACTTGGAAGGAATGCTCATGCGCATTTACCGTCTCATCCAAGGTTTACCAACCAAAACGCAAAAAATGGTGACATATGTGATGTTGGGTGCACCGACATGCACAAGCCTCGTAATGAGAACCGCACTCCAATTCATAGGTTTCCTTCTGAGAGCTGCGAAGGAACACACTCTAACCAGATATATCATCACCCATGGAGCAGTCAATGCTGATCGAACCACGAGTCTTGTGCGCCAATGGGACACATTGCTCCAACATCTGAACTTACCAAGCCTCTCTATTCTGGCTAATCAAAAAATAGACCAACCGCGGACAGCATGGAACAAGTTAGCATCTGCATCAGTGGATCAAAGTATGACAAAAATCATCAGGAACACAGCAGAGAATATGACAAGTTTGTTTTGGCTTTCGCTACTGCCACAAACCGAAAAGTACGAGGCGCCGAAAACATTTTGGCCGGCAAGCAAGTACAGCGCAATTACCAGACAAGCGACACTAACCAAAATTGTCCTTCTAACGGGCCACTCTTTGGTGGCCACAAGCATGGTTAGAAGGCACAAAGAAACTGTTGTCTGTCCATTGTGTCGTAATGCCATTGAAACTCTGGAACACATGCTCTTTGAATGTGACAAACTGAAAGACGATAGAGTAGCTGCTCAAAAAATATACAAAACTATCTTGAACAGAACGCTACCAGCAGCAGAACTTATCATCATCGCCGATAAGCCACAAAGCTTGATCATCCATTATATCTACCAAGCCCGTGTGCGCAAGGAACTCACTGAGAATATAACCAAGAAGAGTAACTGTTAAAGAGTCCTCCCAACTATGATGTCCTGAAAATTTATATCATCCAGACAGCTAACATAATTGGAAGACGATCAGAAATGATCCTGCATCTACTAGATGGAGTCGACGAAATAAGTCTAAGTAAAGTAAGCCGGCCGCTATTTGGAGCTGTGGGGGCAGTAACTGGGCTGTACAGTCGGCCGCTATTTGGAGCTGTGGGGCCCGCAGTGATTGGGCTGTACAGCCGGCCGCTATTTGGAGCTGTGGGGCCCGCAGTGTTGGGCTGTACAACCGGCCGCTATTTGGAGCTGTGGGGCCCGCAGTGATTGGGCTGTACAGCCGGCCGCTATTTGGAGCTGTGGGGGCAGTAACTGGGCTGTACAGTCGGCCGCTATTTGGAGCTGTGGGGCCCGCAGTGATTGGGCTGTACAGCCGGCCGCTATTTGGAGCTGTGGGGCCCGCAGTGTTGGGCTGTACAGCCGGCCGCTATTTGGAGCTGTGGGGCCCGCAGTGATTGGGCTGTACAGCCGGTACCTCCTGTTGGCCTTCTCCTGCGCCGTCTCGGCGTACAACTCGTCGATGCGCACCGCCAGCCGCTCGAGCTCGGCGTCCCAGAAGACGAGCGCTGCGCCCAGCTCGGCGGGCAGCCGCTGGCTCTCGAGCAGCTGCAGCTGGCTCAGCTGCAGCGACACGGCCACCTCCAGCTCGTTCAGGCGCGCCAGCTTCTGCAGCTGAGGGTCGGCGGACGGCAGCGGGTCACAGACGGGAACGGGTCACAGCGGCGGGTCACAGCGGCGGGTCGGGTCACAGACGGCAGCGGGTCACAGCGGCGGGTTACAGACGGGAACGGGTCACAGACGGGGACGAGCTGCAGGAACGGGCCACAGACGGGAACGGGTCACAGACGGGCCACCGGACACCACACGTTATATGCACTACACGGTAGGTAGTTACATACGCTCCGGTAATGCCAGATATAAATGGAATAAAAATATAGCCATGGTTGGGCACCACTTTACAGCGCAATCCGTCCATTGTTAGCAAACAAAGTTACGTCACCTAAACAACTGGGATAATGTCCGATATAGACACGTCTGATTGTGTAAATAATCACCCACTATAGCCGCTAGACCGCTCATTTAGCTGTACGAGCAGCGCCGGCCGGGTGCGGGGACCGCCGGCCTACCTGGAAGGCGTGGATCTCGTCTTTGATCGCCTGCAGCGCCGAGGTGGTCGCCTTGGCCTTCTTCTGGGCCGTCTCAAACTCCTTCTTGGCCACTTCGAATGACAGGCGCTTCCCAGCCAGCTCCAGCTCCAGGTCCCCCCTGACAGCGTGACACAGCCGGTCAGCCTCTGACCCTCCCCCCCCCCCTGACAGCGTGACACAGCCAGTCAAGTTCAACCTCTGACCCCCTCTGACAACGTAAAACAGACGGTCAGCCTCTGCCCCCTATGACAACGTAAAACAGCCAGTCAACCTCTGCCCCCCTCTGACAACGTAAAACAGCCGGTCAGCCTCTGACCCCGCTGACAGCGTGACACAGCCAGCCAGCCAGCCTCTGCCCCCTCTGACAGCGTGACACAGCCGGTCAACCTCTGACCCCCTCTGACAACGTCAAACACCCGGTTAGCCTCGCCCCCCCCCCCTCTGACAGCGTAAAACAAGCGGTCAGCCTCTCCCCCCTCTGACAGCGTAAAACAGCCGGCTGCCACGTCAGCCTCAAATGCAAAGTCGGCTCGGCACACGTAGTGGAAGACACCTAACGTGGGTTCACTGGGAGAGTCCGTACTGTGCCCCGGGAGTGCCCTGCTGTGCGGCGGGAGTACCATGGGAGTGCCCTGCTGTGCCCTGGGAGCGCCGTGACCACCTCGGCCGCCAGCTCTTCACACGGGCCACGGGGAGCTGCACCGTTTCCCGCGCTGCCGCAGCCACAAAACAGCACACATCACTTTCATTGACGGCTGCGCCTTCCGAACGAAACGGAGGCAAATGAAAGTCGAAGTCGGAATGGCCATTTCTGCGGGCAGCCTCTTTGGCCCAGAGTGACGCCGAGCCGTCACGGGGGTGACTCGCGCGTGACGGACAGCAGTAGCGGTACCACTGCCAGACAGCGCGACGCCAACTGGCGCGGTCAAGGCCGAGCGGCCGTACCAGCAACACAACGCCGTCGGAGATGTAAATACCTACAATACATGCAATTGTTAGACTCATACCGTCAACAAGTCGAATTTGCATAAACATAACGCAGAATCCGTATTTCATATAACTAAAAATTCACATGGGGGAGGGGTCGCGTCGACCCCTCCCTCCGCTGCCAGGGCGAGGGTAAACGACGTCAAAGGTCAGGCTAAAGTAAAAGTTATCAATACCTATTTTGACATATTTAGGCATGCTTTGGGCTCTGTTCACCATGCAGAACAGGCTCTTTTTATTTACATACTAATAAATGCATGCTAAGGAAATTCTGCAATCTGCATGTGCCGAGCCTCCGAGCCAGGTCAAGTTCAGGACGAATGTCAAATTTTGAAGCTGGTTTGTACCTAACCCCAAATACGAGGGCCGAATGCACAAGTGAAGGGTGTAGCTCATTTACCACGTGTCGGCGGAGCCGGCAGCACGCCCGTCACGTCACGACTCACCACCCTCTCCGGCGGCGGCCGTCACGGCAGGAACGTCTGATGACGTCACTCGTGTTCTCACGGAGACCGGGCCCCGCCCTACGGCCGGCCCGGCCGTATATATGGCGACCAACCCTTCAGTGGGCAGCAGTGTCAGCTCTGGTGACCGTGGTGAGCACAGAAGAGCCGAACACAACAAATACTTCACTATGAAACTGGTGAGTGCTACCTGCTTGAACAAAAGGCCCCTGCGTCTGCTTCAGCCCATCTTGCTCTTAGGTATTTTTATTTTTATTTATTTTATTTTTTTTTTTTTGCTCAGCGGTGCTAAAAGAAAATCAAAGGTTGACCAAGATTTCCTATTTTACATTATGGAGCGCGATAATAAGCATCTTATTTATTTCAATGTAGGCGTTCACCTCCTGCTTACATTTTGAAAAAAAAAATATACCGTTTTATTTACTTGATATCTTTTGAAGCGGAAAGGTACCTATGCAGCTTCCATTTAAGCTCACAATCTTACTTTGACTCAAAGTTATTAGACAATTTACATATTTTACTGAACAAACACATCAAGCTACTCGGTATCTACAAACCAGTAAGACGCCTTTTGGGGCGACCGACAACCGAGCCGAGGGCGGAGAGAATGAGCCCTGCTTGTGTGGAAGCGCAAGGGGGTGCCTCCAACTGACTTGTGCAGTGTGCACGGCACCCTACTAACTGCAGTCTAAGGCAGTGTGCAAATATGGGCGCAATCGGCCGAGCCGTTCTTGATATGTGGGAGCGGCACCCTGCACGTGCGCACGTGCAAACTAGGCCCCAACTGACTTTTGCACGGCACCCTACTCGCCGGTCCCCAAAGGTTTAACAAGTAGTCGATGGATTTTCACCATTCAAACGGCGGGTGAATGGTGAAGCCCCCCTGTTTACCAAGTTTTCAACGTATTCAAAAAATTATCCTCCACATTCCATTAACACCTGCAGTCATCTCCTTAACCTGCAGAACTCAGAAGATTGTCTTCACAGTCACTTGTAGTCTCTCTAGAGAGACATGAGTGCATCATCTCCATCCTTGGGCCGAGCTCGGTTTTGATGTTATAACACGGATCAGTCGTGCTTTTTGCAGCTACGCCACTTAAGCACTGATTCATTAGATTGCAGTCTGTGGAGATAAGAGACGAAATGTTCAGCCCGGTGAAGTTGACGAAGTTCTCGCAGAGTGATTGTTGGCTCTTACCGGGGGCATAGCCAGGCGGCAAGTGTTGTTGGCATACGAATCACGAGTGTCGTATGGCCATTCTCTCCACCCAGGGGGCACACCGCCGCGCTGAACAGCTCATATTGCCACACGAGGGCAGCTGAGAGCCTTCCTTGAATATGTGGTAGTTCATGATGTTATACCAGGCAATTTCATGCAATACTAAATTCTCCTTTTCCTTTCATACACATTTACAAAGTTGACCTGCAAATAATAGCCTACATTTGTTCGATGTTCCCTATGGCTGCCGTCCAGTAATGTGGAGTGTTGTTATGTGGCCGCTCTGACGGGGCTGTGGGTGGTTCTCCGGCCGGCAGCTGCTGGTGTCCTGTCTGGTGGCGCTGGCCGGCGCAGACGGCCCGGCACCGTCCGCCTACCAGCAGAAGCCCGTCATCAAAATCCTGAGCCAGGAGGACGTCCACCCGGGAGACGGCACCTACCGCTTCAGCTTCCAGACCGAGAACGGCATCCAGCGCGACGAGAGCGGCCAGCCCAAGGCCGGCGGCGGCGGCGGCGGCTACGGCCAGCCGGGCGGCGGCTACGTGCAGCAGGGCGGCTGGAGCTACACGGACGGCTACGGCGGCCCCGTCCAGCTCACCTTCACCGCCGACGAGAACGGCTACCAGCCCGTCAGCGACCTGCTGCCCACGCCCGTGCCCACCGAGTACCCGGTGCCCGTGGTGCCGCAGGTGTACCAGGGCGAGCCAGCGCGCTACGGGCCGGCTCGCCCTGGCTCGCCCTAACCGGCTGTTTCGTGTCAGAAGCCACGACAGCGACTGTCCTTGTTGGGCTTGAGAGCCCTCGATTATTATACACCTGTGTCATATTTGTATGATTTGTCAATAAATGTTGGGGAAAAAAAAAGCGCGCTACGGGCCGGCGCCGGCCGCCGCCGCCGCCGCCCCCGCCCCCGCCCAGTACAGGCCGGCCGCCCCCGCCCCGCAGCGCTACAACTAGAGCAACAGCATTGGCAGTCGAACCTCGCTGGTGAAGAGTCTTTCGTCTTTGTACAAGTTGTGCGTGAGTGTATGTAAGGCTGTGAGTGGGATGAGTGGCTGACATAACTTAATACAATATTTTCAAATGAAATATTAGCTTTGTTTGGCGAAACTTCTAAGCTTAACTGGCTTTGTAATTGCATATCAAAATGACAATGTCAAATGTGTCTGTTAAGCAGGCAAAAAAATAAACAGCAACACTCCTCGTAACCACCGATTCGCCCTGAATAATATGAAGAAGCGGCCGTCAATGTTCAGCGAAAAATGTGTAGGTATATCTTCTACAAAATATGCTAGCATAAACAAAATATGCGTGATAGTTATTGAGATCATCTTGCTGGACAGTCGGTCATGCATGGTGCCAGTTTGGAGCCCTGAATTTCCTTGTGTCACCCAAAGCAAACTACTATATATGCATCTCTCCGCTCCAAAGGAGTGTGGCCTACTCGTATCTCGCCGAGGTGAGCGGCGGTCACCTGCCTTTTCAGCCTCATGTCGGCGACCCAGTCGTAGAGCTGCTGGTCGCAGCCGGGCGGGCAGGCGGCCAGGTCCCAGGTCTCCTGGACGGCGTCCTCCTCGTCCTCGTCCTCGTCCTCGTCCGAGTCGTCCTCGTCCGAGTCGGACAGCGACGACGACGAGTCGCTGTCCTCGTCCTCTGCAACACTCGGCGCCAGCAGCCGGCGGTCAGGGGCGGGCCGGCCACCGCAGACGGCGGTCAGGGGCGGGCCGGCCGCCGCACACGGCGGTCAGGGGCGGGGCGGCCACCGCAGACCGCAGACGGCCACCGCAGACGGCGGTCAGGGGCGGGCCGGCCACCGCAGCCGGCGGTCAGGGGCGGGCCGGCCGCCGCAGACGGCGGTCAGGGGCGGGCCGGCCACCGCAGACGGCGACTGAAGGCGTTGGCCAGGAGTCGGCTGACGCTCCCGCCGCACCAGCTACGGTAGCTGGACAGGGGACCCCAATCCGGTGGCCGTTAGAAAACAGCCACATTACGTGGTGCAGTCGTGAAGGAAAAGACCATATTTCGTTCATGCATACAAAGAAAACACTCACCGTCTTTCTTGGTATCAGGCTTTATCTTGACTTTCCTACGGTAAACCCGCAGGAGGAACTTGGCGTACTTGTCTCCAGGCACATTGGATGTGACCTCTTTGGCCAGGTCTTTTAGTCGCTGTTCAAGGTCCTCTTGTTCGCGCTTTTGGTTTTCGAACCTTAGCGTTACCTCCGAGAGCTATGTAAGAAACACGAAAAAAATCACATATCCCGGACATCAATAAAACGACGAGTTCAAACTGACGTGTGCAACTGGACAACTAAAGCTGAGCTAAGAATTTACCTGAATATTGATGTAGTAGTACTTGCTCATTATCTTTTGCTCACATCTCAAGACCATGGGACCCTTAGGTCAATATTTTCATAGACCATCGCGAATGAAAAGGAAAAGGGGGACAGACAGAGGGTCGTTTATGGATAGAATTAACTAGATGGATGCTAAGAATGTACGTTTTATTCTTACGTTGTAACCATCGTAAACCATCGTTACGTGGACAATGAACATAGCATTCTCAGAAGTGTACTCATTTGAGATAGTATCACGATCCATCATTTGCGACGTCTGTCTCCTAGAGAAGGTAGGTGCTCGCCACATATACCCTCCGTCATGTGCACACATGCGCGAGACACTGTTTGTGTCTGATCTCCCTTAGCTGGCTGTTGATGCAGCCCGTGTAAACATTCTGAATCACCTCTTAACCCGCACCGTTCTGGTGGTCTGAATTTTCCGTAAATCACGGAAAGAAGTATGTACGAGTACTTCGGCCAGCTTTTAGGCCAGGTCAACGGCCAGGTCTCAAGAGGCCATCATATATCAAATTTCGCTCATCACGACAATCCTCGACTAATTGGCGCGTAACTCTGGAATGAGTAGAAAAGAATGGGTGACATTCGTGCAAAAAAGGAATAAATCCATATACCTATCTGGTCTTTTGTTGGTGCAATGGTAAAATTGTTGATTGTAGTATGGAAAGACACTATAACAGATATTTTTCTTAATAAAAAGTTATCCTCTAAAACTATCGCTTCTATAAGAAAAAAGTGACTTTTAATAGCTCTAAACGTGTCCACAAACCTGCCCCAGGTATAGGGCACTGTCGTGCAAGGGGTGGGGCGCTACCATGAACCCTACAAAGTTCGAGGAATTACAGGACATTACCAGACAGTTACCAAAAGATATTGTCAGGGGGCATTTCACTCGATTCCTTTCGACAAGAATGCATTGCACAACAAATGTAGAAAGAACTGGCTGGCCAACGAGAATGTGCCAACTGCCGGCCATCGACCTGCCTCCGTAACCTCGCCAATGTCACGTGAACTACATATATTTGTCACGATGCCGAAAGCAGCCGAGACTGAGTCAGGCGAGCGTCATAAATAAAACCGACTACAGATAATGTCATATATCGCAAAAACGAAAAATATATACCAATGTGCCCCTAGGCAGTGCGTAGGTACACGAACCTGTCCAACAGCGTTTTTTGTGATGTTTCAAACTTTTTAACAAACAGGTTTGCCACAATTCCGTGAAAAGGGAAAGCTGGACCGCACTTCCCAGGCAGGATCACGAAAATGGATGCTATGAAAAAAGTTTGAAAGACGCACGAATAGTACCTACAACTTACTGTTTTTAGCGAGCATAATAGCAGGTACAGTGTTGTCTTTTAGTTTCTACAGTGAACGGGGAGCAGCAATGATAGACATATTTTATAATTTAGAGACCATGTTCGGTCGGAATCGCTATTCGGCATATGTCGGCTCGCATTAGCCGCGCGTTTGCAGTCTTTTCGTAGTTTCAAGCGTTCAAACATGTGATATGATGTTGCCCCCATGCATTAGGGTGGGTGTCAAGGTCACCTGAAGGTCAGGTCAGGTCACTGACCTTTGATGAACCGGTTCACTTTTTCGAGTTTTACATGTTTCTATGCTAGTTTTTTTAGCAGAATTTGAATGTAGTAACCGCTTAACCAATAAAACATTTACGAAGTAGTTTTGGTGCCTTCGTAGCATGTTACGAAGCTGTCAGAGGCGGTTGCCACCTACTACGAATACCCGGCAAAACCCTTACTGGATGACCTGACCTGACCTGACCCGGTCTGGCCTAAATGCATGAAGACATCATCTCTGACCAAAAGTAACACGATATTCGTGACAAGCACCCCGTAAAAACCATAGCAGCCACACTTTAACCCTCGCTGGCACCGGGGGGGGGGGGTTGATACAAACCCCCCCCCCCCCACTAAGGTTTTTCGCAAATAACTCGCGTAAAAACCGGCCGATCGCGACGAAACTTTCAGTACCCTCGCACCGATCAATTTTACACCTTCCCTTAAAGTTTCATGATCCTGACCCCAATGACCTTTGACCTGTGACCTCTTTTCCGTGACCATGTTTGGCCGAAATCGCGATTCGGCGTATGTCGGCTCGCATTAGCCACGCGTTTGCAAGCTTTTCGTGGTTTCAAACGTTCAAACATTTGATTTGATGTTGCTCCCATGCATTAGGGTGGGTGTCAAGGTCACCTGAAGGTCAGTTCAGGTCATTGGCCTCGGTTCAGTTTTTCGAGTTTTACATGTTTCTAGGCTAGTTTTTGGAGCTGAATTCGAATTTAACAACCATTTGAACATTTACGAAGTAGTTTTGGTGCCTTCGTAACATGTTACGAAGCTATCAGAGGCGGATGACAGGTACTACGAATACCCGTCACGACCCCTACCGGTTGACCTGACCAGACCTGACCTGCGCTGACCCGACCTGGTCTAAACGCTTAACGACATCATCTGTGATCAAAACTAACACGATATTCGTGATCAGCACCCCGGAAAACCCCTTAGCAGCCACGCTTTACGACTTTCTAACAGGTCCCGATATTACCGATTTTTTGGTCATTGACCTGACCTGGAAGGTCAACCGATGACCTAGGACCTTAAAATTGGGTATCATTGGCTTCCTCTCGTGACGGGCAACACGCTCGTTTTTCCGCTAAACTCTAGCTTCACCAGGGGCCAAATGCGAGGGGGGGTCGTACCGCCCCCCCCCCCCTCCTCGCGTTTGGCCCCTGATCGAGTAGAGCTTCGCGGAAAAAACGAGCGTGTTGCCCGTGACGAGAGGAAGCCGATGATACCCAATTTAAAGGTCCTAGGTCATCGGGTGACCTTCCAGGTCAGGTCAATGACCAGAAAACCGGGAAAATCGGGACCTGTTAGAAAGTCGTGAAGTGTGGCTGCTATGTGGTTTTCCGGGGTGCTGATCACGAATATCGTGTTAGTTTTGATCAGAGATAATGTCTTTAAGCATTTAGACCAGGTCGGGTCAGGTCAGGTCAGGTCAGGTCAACCGGTAGGGGTTGTGACGGATATTCGTATTACGTGTCAACCGCCTCTGACAGCTTCGTAACATTTTACGAAGGCACCAAAACTACTTCGTAGTTGTTCAAATGGTTGCTAAATTCGAATTCAGCTCCAAAAACTAGCCTAGAAACATGTAAAACTCGAAAAAGTGAACCGAGGTCACCCGAGGTCACCTAAAGTTAATGACCTGACCTGACCTTCAGGTGACCTTGACACCCACCCTAATGTATGGGAGCAGCATCAAATCACATGTTTGAACGTTTGAAACCACGAAAAGCTTGCAAACGCGCGGCTAATGCGAGCCGACATACGCCGAATCGCGATTCCGGCCAAACATGGTCTCGGAAAAGAGGTCACACGTCACAGGTCATTTGTGTCAGGGTCATGAAATTTTCAGGGTAGATGTAAAATTGATCAATGCGAGGGTACTGAAAGTTCTGTCGCGATCGGCCGCTTTTTACGCGAGTTATTCGCGAAAAAAAAATAGGGGGGAGGGGGTTGATGCACCCCCCCCCCCTGTGCCGGCGAGGGTTAAGACATTCTAACAGGTTCCAATTTTCCCGACTTTTGTGTCATCGACCAGACCTGGAAGACCAATTAATGACCTAGGACCTTAAAATTGGGTATCCTCGGCTTCCTCTTGTCATGGGCAGCACGCTCGCTTTTTCTGCGAAGCTCTAGCTTGATCAGTGGCGAAACGGCAAGGGAATCAAACGGAGCCCCCCCCCCCTTATACGTTCGCGGCTGGAAAAGCACCAACACGGGCGAGGGTAAAGTATGAATGTCATTATTTGTGAGGTTTCAGGTTTGTATCTCCAATTTTTCAATTTGGTAAATAAAATAGTCATATCTATCGCAGCCTAATATAGCTTAACCTACAGCCTACAACCTAGAGGAATTTGAAATATAAAGATTTACTCATAACGTGCCTATATGTGTAGGCAGCGACGATCGTTGTTGTTGCGATTTCCAAATACGCCAGGAACACAGTGTCGCGAGGCGAATCGATATGGCTTTTGTCGAGGATCTCCCCTTAAGGAGACAGACAAGGCGCACGGTGATCTCAATGACAAACAGTTCTGAGAATGCCCCATGTCACTGGCCCGGAGCGAGTCTGCGGTGAAGTGAACTGTTCCGTGCGGCCGCCACCCACCGACAGCTGGCCCTCGGCGTCCTCCAGCATCCTCTCCTGGAGCGTCGCGTTCAGCGCCGCCTCGCGCTTCTCAAACTCCCGCACCAGCATCAGCTCCCGGAACCTGTCCGCCAGCACAGCGGTGAGCACGCGCAGCGTTCCTTATCCCGGCACCCTGACCACCGACCTTCCATGTTCACAGCACTGAGCACGGTACACGGAAGGATCCACTTCCAAAGCCAAAGACTGCCGTGTGGTATGTCAGATTTCCAGTTGTGCTTCTACTGGACCTCACCTGGTCAGCAGACGAAGATCCCCGTTCTTGAGCTTGTATTCGATGTGCACCATCTGCCTCCACAGGTCGTAGAGTTCGGTGTCGAACTCCTCCATCAGCTGATCGACCCTCTTCAGCTCCCGGTCCCGAGCGAACACCGTCCTACCGAGTACCGGTACCCGGCGTCACACTCACACACCATCATCCAGTTTACAGGGCCGGCCAGACTTAGTTTGCACTGAGACGAACGACCCCTGGTATGTAACCTCTGTCCAAACTGAGACGTTGCAGCACAATTCCTTAAAAGTCCGCCCGCTAAATCATCTTGCAGGCATTCTGCTGAGTTCGACTACCAACAGGCAACACATTCGCCCTTCCAGCCTAGCCGACTGCGCACCCACCTGATCTCGGTCATGCGGCGGAGCGCATGGTCCGTCTGCGAAATATGCGCCACAGGCCGGGCCCGGTGCACGGCCACCCCCTCGACGGCGGCGCCCTGGTGTCGCGCGCGCAGCAGACTGCGCCGGCGCAGCGTGGTCGCCGGCGTGGTGGTGGCGCCTGTGCCCTCCGACGGCGTCTCGGCGGCGGTGGCGGTGGCGACGGCGAGTCGCGCCGGGTCCTGGTGAGCGGCGGCGGCCGCCGCCTCCGCCGCCCGCCGGTACTCGGCCAGCGCGGCGTCCGACATCTGTGACAGCAGTGCACAGGGGGCGACATCTGTGACAGCAGTGCACAGGGAGGGGCTGGAGTGACATCTGGTACAGCAGTGCACAGGGAGGGGCTGGAGCGACATCTGTGACAGCAGTGCACAGGGAGGGGCTGGAGCGACATCTGTGACAGCAGTGCACAGGGAGGGACTGGAGTGACATCTGTGACAGCAGTGCACAGGGAGGGGATGGAGTGACAGCAGTGACAGCAGTGCACAGGGAGGGGCTGGAGTGACATCTGTGACAGCAGTGCACCGGGACGGGATGGAGCGACATCTGTGACAGCAGTGCACGGGGGGGGGGCTGGAGTGACATCTGTGACAGCAGTGCACAGGGAGGGGCTGGAGCGACATCTGTGACAGCAGTGCACCGGGAGGGGCTAGAGTGACATCTGTGGCAGCAGTGCAGTGCACAGGGAGGAGCTGGAGTGACATCTGTGACAGCAGTGTACAGGGAGGGGCTGGAGTGACATCTGTGACAGCAGTGCACAGGGAGGGGCTGGAGCGACATCTTTGACAGCAGTGCACAGGGAGGGGCTGGAGCGACATCTGTGACAGCAGTGCACCGGGGGGGGGCTGGAGTGACATCTGTGACAGCAGTGCAGTGCACAGGGAGGGGCTGGAGTGACATCTGTGACAGCAGTGCACAGGGAGGGGCTGGAGCGACATCTGTGACAGCAGTGCACAGGGAGGGGCTGGAGCGACATCTGTGACAGCAGTGCACAGGGAGGGACTGGAGCGACATCTGTGACAGCAGTGCACAGGGAGGGACTGGAGCGACATCTGTGACAGCAGTGCACAGGGAGGGGCTGGAGTGACATCTGTGACAGCAGTGCACAGGGAGGGGATGGAGCGACATCTGTGACAGCAGTGCACAGGGAGGGGCTGGAGCGACATCTGTGACAGCAGTGCACAGGGAGGGACTGGAGTGACATCTGTGACAGCAGTGCACAGGGAGGGACTGGAGTGACATCTGTGACAGCAGTGCACAGGGAGGGGCTGGAGCGACATCTGTGACAGCAGTGCACCGGGAGGGGATGGAGTGACATCTGTGACAGCAGTGCACCGGGAGGGGATGGAGTGACATCTGTGACAGCAGTGCACAGGGAGGGGCTGGAGTGACATCTGTGACAGCAGTGCACAGGGAGGGGCTGGAGTGACATCTGCGACAGCAGTGCACAGGGAGGGGCTGGGATCACATCTGACAGCAATCCACAGGAAGGGGCTGGAGCTATTTCGCCCGAGCGCACCACTACAGCGGACGTGAAGCGGCTAGCATCGGCGACAACCCGTCTCCAGCGGGCGCATTTGGGAAGCAGCGTGTAATGCTAATTGGATGGTAGGATGTTGTGCACCAGTGCCGGTCTGATCGCCGCAGAAGCAGACAGGCGCTGAGCTCTCGTCCTAGCCCTTCCGACCCAGCATCCAGGCTTCCTACTTCTCGCTATGACTGGCCTTACCAGAGCTAACACGACCATAAGAATTATGGCCCTGAACCACCGCAGTTCTGAGCCACTGACCTGGTAGACAGCCTCAGGGTTTTCGTCCTCAGCCAGTGCCGGCCGGAGCGGCAGCTGAATATGCAGCGACGCCGGCAGCTGACTCTGCAGCTCTGCCGCGCGAGCCAGCGCCACGTGGACGCTGTTGAGCACCTCTTTCTTCCGGCGTCTCATCGCCAGCACACGTTCGTTGAACGCCACTTTGTGCTTGTACAGCTGCGAAGAACATACATGGACAATGTACAGGTCTCGCGGGTTTTAGCGGTAGGTTTTGCACCTAGGAAATTTAGTGTACTGCAGGCTATATCTTCGTCGTCTTAAGCTTTTAAGTGTTGAAGATGCGATTGACTTGTTGGATAACAAGCCGGCCATGATCGTGTAAAATGGCTTCATCGTAGATCGATTAGTTTCTGAGATATAACCGGAAATGTAAAAGTGCAAAACCTACCGCTTAATCTCGCGAGACCTGTACATGTCAAGTCCATATAAGGTATATAGAGACGAGTGAAGACTAAACATGCATGCATATCTAGTCCGGATTTTTAAGCGCGTGGGATCGTTTTAAAAGCGCAAATTAAACCTCGCCCGCACATGCCATTTTCCCATCCTAGAACGCACATGGGGGGGGGGGGGTGGTTGCCACCCCCCCCGCGCCATTTCGTTCCTGTTGGAGATAGAGCTTAGCAATAAGGACCAAAAAGATTCTTTGGAGAGAGACGAATCCAATGGTACCCAGTTTTACCTTCTCAGGTCAGTCTTTGACTTTCCAGGTCAGGTCAAACTAAAAAATATTGCTGTTTTGGGTCACCGTTGGATATCAATTGCGCTGCTTATCATATACCGATGACGATGCCGTTTTCTGGTGCCAAGCCAGCTAGAGCCTCTTTGTCACACTACCCGACCAGGTTTTTGCTGCTGAGGTCATTTCAGGTCAAGTTACGTCAAGGTCAATAATATGTGTTTGTATGTCTGTGTGTGACTGTGTGTATACTGATGTGTGCAACGGTTGTTTATGTGTCCATATTACATGAAATCATGATCTGAGAAGCTTTTACCAAAAATGCAGTAAAAAAAAAAAAACTTCACAAAAAGTAAATTCAGCTTGCCTAAAACGAAACTATCTTAGATGACCTAGGTTGACCTTGACCCTGACCTTGACATCTGTACATCGTCGAACAACATGTTCCATGATAGGTGGGAGGTAAGACTGGCAAAAAAGGCCGAAATCAGGGTGTCAAAAGCTCACAAGGCCCATAGCCAACGCAAAATGTTGAGAATTGGCCATTTGGGTCATGACATGACCTGAAAAACAAGGTCAAATCTCCGAAACCAAAAACGACAGAAACTTGAAATTTTCAGTGGACATCAAGAAAGGATAGAGGAGCAGCTATACGAAAAATCAGCCTCCTAGCTCTAAAAATGTTGAGTGCAGAGCAGAAACACTACCTGGGGGGCAACCCCCCCCCATGTGCGGGCGAGGGTTAATACGGCAAGAGACAAGCAAAATGAACAACAGACTGATCAAAGAGTAAAAACTAAGTGAAGGATTAGATTATAGTTCTTTTTTACCTATTTAACTCTAAGTACGGATACCCGCAGTTGCTACTGTACACGAACCCCAACTCTAGCCGTCTGTCCTGTTCAGCAGCAACCGATAACATTGATATCGACTGCCGGTCCCTGTACAAGAGCAGCTGAGGTTTTCTGTGCGTGCCCTCTGACAGCTTATCGTTGTTCCCTGTGAGGGTGCTGGGAAAACTTACTCAGGGTCGCTGTACAGTAGCACCTGCAGGTCCCGTACCCTAATTAGCACTCCTTTTAGCCACCGAAAAGGGTAAAAACTGAGCCTGATAAGATCGAACGTCGCCTAATTTTAACCTTCGCCCCAGTTGGGGGGGGGGGGCATATGTTACCACCCTGTCGCGTTTTTTTTTTTGCGTGTGAATAACAAACCGCGGCGCTACGCGCCTCTTGGGGTAGCTTTTGGTACATCAATTTTGGACAATGTGTAGAATTTTTGACCCCAGGTCATGTCAGGTCAGGTTAACTGGCCAAGCCTAAAAAATTTTGCAATCATGTCCAGCCTGCAGTGTTTGTCAGAAAGGTTTTAAACTTGGTGGATTGCATGCTGTTATGGGCGCCTACAATTTGTATATCTCGGATTTTTTTTTATATCCGTGACCTAAGGTCAGGTCAGTGGCGTGACCTTTCCATTACTTAAGTCAATGGAGAAAAATGAAAATGCCTCTAGATCCGTGTGTACGCAAAGGAACAGTCCAAATATTTCAGAATCACAATGATTTAGTTCACACGTGATGACCAAGGTGTCATTTTTGCTGATAGCCTCTAGAAAGGTCATCCGAGGTCATTTGAAACTACAAACAGTTTTTTGCCAATAACTCGCGATTGGAAAGAGATAGAACGCTGGGGATGGTCTCATTGTGTTTGTCTTGTTGAGACGCATCGACTGGTATGCAACATGACCTTTTCCGGTCAGGTCATGACCTTGACCTGAGGTCAAATTTTCAAGTTGACCTTTCAAGGTCAAATTATAGTTCATTTGACGCGTCTCGGCGAGGGGAACACGATTCTGGCAATAGAAATGTCGTGGCTTTTTGTAGTCCAAAGTTATTGTCGAAAAAACCCTTTTCGTAAAAACAGCTATTTTTGGAGTTTTTGTCCTCTGGAAGCTAAACCGTTGACCTGAGGTCAATTGATTATGATCTTTTCAAAAGAAGAGTTCAAAAGCTATCGATTGCTTTTCCATGCGTTTTTCTAGCTACCATAGTTCCTGAGATAGCGGCATGTTTTCTGAAAAATATAATGACAATTGGCAAATTTTGACCTTTGATGACCTCTGGTGACCCCAAGATTGCTCTAAGGTGAAAAATGACCGGAAAACTTTCAAACGTACGCATTGAGAGCTATCGACTGCTTTTCACCGCGTCTCTCTAGCCCTCTTAGTTTTTGAGTTAGAGGTGGGTGGTAACATATGCCCCCCCCCCCCCCACCCCCCACTAGGGCGAAGTTGGCTGAGACCACCACTGGGGCGCGGGTTAACCCTCGCATGTGGGCGGTGTTTGCCCGCTTCTAACGTGTAGGGGGAGGGGTCGGTTGTACTCCCCCCTTGCCGTTTGGCCCCTAATCGAGCTAGAGCTTCGCGAAAAAAACGGCGTGTTGCCCGTGACGAGAGGAAGCCGATGATACCCAATTTTAAGGTCCTAGGTCATCGGTTACCTTCCAGGTCAGGTCAATGACCCAAAAGTCGGGAAAATCGGGACCTGTTAGAAAGTCGTTAAGTGTGGCTGCGATGGGGTTTTTCGGGGTGCTGATCACGAGTCACGACTGTCGTGTTAGTTTTGATCACAGATGATGTCTTTAAGCATTTAGACCAGGTCGGGTCAGGTCAGGTCAGGTCAGTAGGGGTCGTGACGGGTATTCGTAGTACGTGTCAACCACCTCTGACAGCTTCGTAACATGTTACGAAGGCACCATAACTACTTCGTAAATGTTCAAATGATTTCTAAATTCGAATTCAGCTCCAAAAACTAGCCTAGAAACATGTAAAACTCGAAAAAGTGAACCGAGGTCACCAAAGGTCAATGACCTGCCCAGACCTTCAGGTGACCTTGATATCCACCCTTATGCATGGGAGCAACATCAAATCACATGTTTGAACGTTTTAATCCACGAAAAGCTTGCAAACACGCGGCTAATGCGAGCCGACAAACGCCGAATCGCGATTCCGGCCAAACATAGCCTCGAGAAATAGGTCACAGGTCAAAGGTTACTTGAGTCAGGGTCATGAGATTTTCAGAGTAGATGTAAAATTAATCAACTCGAGGGTACAGAGAGGTTCGTTGCGATCGGCCGCTTCTGGCGCGAGTTATTCGCGAAAAACCATGTGGGTCCATTCGACCCCCACCCCCTACACATGCTACACATGTGAATCTTGCCTACACATGTGCTCAATGACCTTGAAAGGTCATTGAGAAAAAATGACTTCAGGTCAAGGTCATGACCTTGAAAGTTTCGAAGTGATCGCGCAGTAGGTATAACTACAGCGAGCCTTCAAGCTTTTTTTCTGAGGAAATGTCACTTCACGTAACCTGGTGACCTGACCTTGAATGACCGGGGTCTGAAATTTCACATGTGAGGAAAAGATGTAGGAATAGGTGCAGCAAAACCTGAGGGAGCGTAAAAATATCCCCCACTCCACCACCCCACCCCCCAGCACGGCGCGGGTTAACCCTCGCCGGCACAGGGTGATGCACCCCCCTAAGGTTTTTCGCGAATAACTCGCGTAAAAAGCCGCCGATTGCGACGAAACTTTCAGTACCCTCGCATTCATAAATTTAACACTTACCCTTAAAATTTTATGACCCTGACCCAAATGACCTTTGACCTATGACCTCTTTTCCGAGACCATGTTTGGCCGGAATCGCGATTCGGCGTATGTCGGCTCGCATTAGCCGCGCGTTTGCAAGCTTTTCGTGGTTGCAAACGTTCAAACATGTGATTTGATGTTGCTCCCAAGCATTAGGGTGGGTGTCAAGGTCACCTGAAGGTCAGATCAGGTCATTGACATTTGGTGACCTCGGTTCACTTTTTCGAGTTTTACATGTTTCTAGGCTAGTTTTTTAGCTGAATTCGAATATAGCAACCATTTGAACATTAACGAAGTAGTTTTGGTGCCTTCGTAACATGTTACGAAGCTGTCAGAGGCGGATGACAGGTACTACGAATACCCGTCACGACCCCTACCGGTTGACCTGACCTGACCTGACCCGACCTGGTCTAAACGCTTAACATTATCTGTGATCAAAACTAACACGATATTCGTGATCAGCACCCCGGAAAACCCCTTAGCAGCCACACTTCCTAACAGATCCCGATATTCTCGATTTTTGGGTCATTGACCTGACCTGGAAGGTCAACCGATGACCTAGGACCTTAAAATTGGGCGTCATTGGCTTCCTCTCGTGACGGGCAACACGCCCGTTTTTTTCTGCGAAGCTCTGGCTCCATCAGGGGCCAAACGCGAGGGGGGTCGTTCCAACCACCCACCCCTTGTGCCGTCGAAGGAATCAAAATGGCCTGTGCCGGCGAGGGTTAAGTTCGACCCTTGCTTTAACCCGCGCCCTGCTGGGGGGGGGGGGGTGTTTGAACACCCCCCCTTGTGGTTTTTCGCGAATACGCCGTTTTTGGTACACCTT